CAGTGTGCCACGTGGCACGTCGATCAGACCCTAATCAGCGTACTGGAGCAATGTCGACCTCAAGATCACCAGGTATGTGTCCACAATCATCCCACTGTCATGATCTCCTCCCGAGTGACGATGAATCAGAACAGCAATGCCAGTCACGTAGCCCAGCCACGTCAGAAGATAAACCACGTGGCAGCGGCCACGTCAGCAGCAACGTGTGGCAGCTGCCATATCAGCACGCCATGAAGACAATAGCTAGCCGACCACCATGCCGAGCCAGCAGTGCGTCGCCGTGATCTCTCAAGTGCCAGCACAAAGCCAGTGTCCACCAGCATCGCAGCGTCGAACCAGCGTTGCGTTGTCAACGCATGAAGTCAGCATTGATGCAAGACTGAATGAATGTCAAAGTCAGGAAGTCAACGCTTAAGTAGTGTTGACGCGGGGTCTGGACCCCAGGTGCCGCATCCCTCAGCCGTCCAGATCTCAATGCAAATATCGGCGCAGATTGTCCTGAAACCGAATTCCTTCTGGCCTTGATGCTGTCTGGGTACCTGCGCACAACAAGTGGGTGTATCCGACCAAGGGCCTGGGCGGGGTACCTTCGACTTGACAGTTGACTTAGACTGTTAATTTTCCCACGGGCAGTGCGCGGTCACACTGCCTGGTGCAGGCCGAATTTGGCCTGCGTCGTCTGGGCTCCGTTTCAAGGGCCCAAACTGCTGCAGAACACGGGTTACTGCATTTACTTAATTCTAACGTATTTTCAAAATTTTCGAAAAAGAATGAATGAAAAGTAGTTTCGAATTTCAAAGGAATGTCAAAAAAAGAATTAATTAATTCTACGTATTTCGAATTACGCAAAAAAAAAGAAATGTCGAAAAAGAATTCAATTAATTTTGAAAGATTTTCGATTAACAAAAATTTCAAAAAAGAATTAATTAAAATTAATTTTGAATTCCGAAGAAGAAATGCCGAGAGAGAATGATTAATCCTACTTATTTTCAAAAATTTCGAAAAAGAAAATATTTTTGAAAAAGAAATGTCGAGAGAGATAGTTAATTAAGTATTTTTGAATTTACATGAATTTCAAGTGAGTTCTAAAAACAATAAATAAATAAATAAATAAAGGAGTAAATTAGTTTGGATGCAAATCGAGGGCGGAGCGATCCTATCTACGATTGATTGGGTGGTAGCGTGGTAGGAAGGGTTAAAAAAAAGGGGGTTGCACGGGTAGATTGGCAATGATGATGATGATGATGATAG